CGTTTTCCAGCAGGACTCCACTCCTGCGCACAAGCCCAAGACGACCCAGGAGTGGCTGCTCAACAATGTTCCTCACCACTGGTTGCTGGACTTGTGGCCGCCCTCCTCACCGGACTGCAACCCCCCTTTCTTCTGGGGCGTGATCGAGGCCAAAACCAACAGGCACACCCACAACACGGTCGACTCTCTGAAGGCTGCCATCGTGGAGGCGTTCGCCGCTATCGACAAGGACATGGTCGCCAAAGCATGTGACTCATTTCGCGCCCGCCTTGAGATGGTCGTCGCCCCCAGCGGTGGTTACATTGAAAAATAATGTAGTATGTAACTCTAACTGTTATTAAATAAACTGTCGGGTCTCTGCATATACAACTTTTGTTTTTATTGCCTATTTCGTTTTCTTTTTGTCATGTGTCGGATTTTGCTGCAACACACTCTATTGAGTCACTAACCGTAATGCATTACTATATATGTTGTATAGCAAACAACCTACAACACACACACCGGTAAATACTCTATATTGTATCGATATAACTCAGCGAACATTTATCAGTAGACATTCGTCAGGTCTGATAAGCAATATTAAAGTCAACATCAACTCCTATAAAATATTACTGTCATTCAGCCAATTATGTGCCATGTGTGATACACGCGTGAGTGATCATGTATCTTTCGATACATGACTAGATTTTTTCCCGCAGTAGGTTGGCATTTCTTCCTACGGTAGACCAGTTTCCATCCAAGCCTATAGAACCCAGTCTGTTCTGCTATTTAACCATAGAAGGGGAGAGAAGAGGATTCATACATTTCCCAAGGGTATTAGCACGTAAGTGAATGTAATGGATTCGACTAGAATTCGAACTTGGCTCTCCGATTCCTCAATCCGAGCCGCTATTCATTACTGTAATTACTATCATGAAATTGCGCAGATGACACGCATACAATAACTACTTGTCTGAATGTCCGCCTGTGTGAAACGGCGCTTCGGTCAATGTTTACACTTAGTACGTTGGACGTGATATGTGCTGTAAGTTTAATAGAATGCTGGATTTGTGTTATTTTTTATATTAATTTCTGTGTTAATATCAAATATCTTCACCAAAGAATTTTTAGTGGGATATATTTGTGGCAGTCTATTGGAGATACGGTAAGTCATCTATAGTAATTGTTAGGGGGGTACTGTCGCACTTGTTTACACCTCAGTGGTAAAGGTTTGCATTTTATCTCCGCCATGTAAGCCGGCCACTACTTTTGAAAATATTTTGTCACGTTTGAAAACCAGACTTGTACGCCGCAATTTACGGTAGATGCATTTCGATTCAAATACAAACGATCCATATTATACACATCCCCCAACAAAGGAAATTCGTCCATGCTTAGAATATTGCCGCCATATATGGTCCGGTGCCCCTGCTATTTACCTGGAGCTCCTTGATAAGATCCAAAGAAGAATCAGCAATATTATTGGTCCTGATCTGGCAGTTCGGCTTCAGTCACTTGCCCACCGTCGTAAGGTTGCCTCTCTGTGCCTTTTTTTAATAAATACTTTCATAGTAATTGTCGGATGAGCTCTTTGCTACGGTACTGAGACTGTATGAATTTAAGCGCAATACTTGACTGGCATCAAGATCACATCAATTTACATTTGAGCTGGCTAGATATAACCGCAAGTTCTATGCTAACAGTTTCTTCTCTCGCACTTCTCGCTTGTGGAATTCCCTTCCGGCTCCATGCTTTCCAGCCAACTTTAATCTGCAAAAATTTAAATGCAATGTCAATTGCTATCTACTTTCCTCCTGAATGCTCTTTTCTCTTTCTACTCATTACTAATGTTTCTATTCCTAATTCTTCCACATCCTGTAACCCTTTGCGTCATAGTGGTTGTACTGCCTTGCTTGTGGGATGATACCGAATAAAAAAATATTTTTCAACTCGTATATACGACCTATCCCCGAATCAAATAAATGCATTTTGATTAAAATATTTCCGTTTTTTTTTTGTTTTTTTTATCAACTTTATTTTGCCAAAAATAAAGTATAATTACATTTTATTCAATTCTATATTCACCATTCCTTGCAATGACTTAACACTTTTTTGAATAAGATCCCCCATGATGTTTTTCGACGAAATCTTGAATCTGGTTTCATTGGAGAATGTTTTCCCCATCAAGACGTTTATCTGTGATCGAAAAATGTAATAATCAACGTCAGGTGAGTTAGAACCGAGCAGCAGAAGTTCAAAATTATATCCTGTGTTGTTCTTGCTGTAGGCGGCCTGACGTTGGCATGGTGAACAGCATTTACCAACTGACGAGTTCAAGGCGTTTTTCCAACCAAACTTTTATGGACATATTGCAGCTGTTGGACGTATAAATATGCAATTAGTGTTTCATTGTGTTTTAAGAACTTTAAATAATACCGTGTCGATCACGCCATACGCACAACATTACCTTTCGGCCATGAAGTTCACCTTTTAGGATTGCGAAGATTGAGCCACGTCAATCAATTTTCAAAGCCTTTTGCGTTGAACATTGTCATATGTTCGTGTATTCCAAATTTATTCTTGACTGCCAAGAATGATTAGTAGTTAGGACGATGCCTTCGTCATTACAGTTGGTTCACTTAAAATGATAATGACTCAAACTAATATATTTTTACAATTATTATTTTTATACTCTGCTCTTGCACGGAGTGTTTGTTTTTTTTTTTTTTTTTGTTTTTTCACTTCCTGACTTGGTAAAAATCTTCGAATAGTTTGCTACTATACAAAGAAAAACACTGACACTTGGTACCCTTCCGCATTACAACAAAAGTTAAAGGCATTACAGGTAAAAATACACAAATAAGAATTGGAGAATTATATTCATAAACTCAGTAAGATTATAGGCTTTTAAAATCATATATAAGAAGGTGACGAAACTGGGGCTCTTCGAGATATAATGTGCATCTCGTGGGGAAAAGACGTCAACAGAAATTTATTTCTCACTAAAGTTAATATAAAAGTTAAATAAGACTTCATTAGACATTGTCGTATCACACTTTAACTGTAACTCAGTGTTTCTCAACTTTTTTTAAGCAACGGCACACCTAAGCGCAAATGAATGTATCACATCACCCTTAGCAAAAATTTTAAAGGGTATACATTTAAAAGTTATGAAATAAAACCATAGATTTAAAAAAAATACACATACAAAGATGAACCTTATTTCAATGTTTCTGTTCAACTATTTGTGCGACTTATTTAGTGGGAAACCTGTGCCTGGTGTTTTTTCATGATATTTTTTAATAATTCGCGTCAGACCTAAGAGGATCGCAGGGCATACTAGTGTGCCGGAGCACGGTGCTTGTGAATGACTGCAACCTGTTATGATATATTTAAGCAACGATTATTTTGGGATGGTAGATTCAATTACAATTTATTACCGATAAATCTAAATTGCTACTTATGACTCGAATAATTAAATATTGATTTCGTCATTAAATAAACCAACAAAAGTTAACATGTCATAAAATAAAATCAACTCAGTCCCAAATTCACAATCTGGGAGACTAACATTTCAAAATCTTCTCAATAAAAGATATGCCCTTATGTCGAACTTTGTATCAACTAATGTACTATTTCTACAAATAAAACAAAAATACGTCTTCTCACAAGAGAATTAAAAAATTGCTACTTTGGTCAACAAAGTTCTGTATGGACAGAAACTCGTTTACTAAATTCTTCTGGAAACTTCGTTTTGCTCATTGTTTTACGTTTGTTTTTGTTTTTCCTGTTTAAGTGCGATTCTGCTAGAGAACGATTGACAGAAAGTTTGAGAGCGTTGCGTACAATCATTTTTATATAAATGTGTGTACGTAATGATACGTGTAGCCCAGCTGTGGGTCGGTGTGAGTTTTTGTGAGTTTTAAACTCTATCATTATACTTTCTTGTACCGATGAGTGTGTGGCTGAAGTACTAATGGCATCGATTTCTGAGTTCCTGACGATGTTTGTAGGAATGGAGGCAGTAACGATGCTCCCTCAAAAAATAAATAAAAAAAATACAAAATACAAAAAAATATATAAATAAATAAATAACGTAAAAATATCTTCATTTGAAGCGTTTGCCTTGGGTGAGTGTCGCATATGATTGCAGGGATGGGACATGTAATTGACCCACCTTTACCACCCATGCACACAGAGAGACGCACGTTGTATCAGCACGTATTCTTACTTCGCATATTAATATGTGCACACGCATACAGTAATCTAACGAATGCACACGAACCAAGAGAAGAAAGCAAAAAATATATATATATAAAGTAATCTGTCCATCAACATTTTGACAAACTATGAGAGTGGCTCATCTGCAGATCATAAAATATATATCTAAAAAAAAAAGTGATAAATGACAATACCTTAAGCATCACATCAACTACTTTCTCGCGTTTCTATGTTTTTGTTTTTCATACTTATTTATTTTGCGGTGTGCATCACACATGAGATTTCGACTTTTTCACCATCAGTTACCAGCACTAACCTATTGCTTTTGCTTATCATTTTATATATATATATTTAATCTTTATTTTTTATCTATTTTTTTTTCAACCCATTATGATTCCTACTTTTGTTCGGAGCCAAAATCACCATTTTTTTTTTTCGTTGATCGTCACCCTGAAACTTAGAAATATCTTCATGATTTTTGTTTTCTTTTTACTATACTTTCATAGTTTCTTTACTTTTTTTTTTCTATCTAGAAACCCAAGCGCAGCCAAAAACAAGTGCGCGTAAACTACGAACACCATTTTCTTGACAAGAGATTAACATGAAGATTCTATTCTTACGTGATGTTCTAATATCGATAATTGCCAGAGAAGAAAAAAAACAACAACACTATCACAATATTTCTATGTTTACTAACATAGAAATATGGTGATGGAATTGCTTTTTACGGTTCATCAACCCTTCGAGGGCTATTTAAAACCGAAATATATTTGCTTGAATTGTAAGAATAATTATGACTTACGATTACATCATGTTGAAACACCGGTTCCCGTACGATCACAGAAGTTAAGCAGCGTCGAGATTCGTCAATATCGAGATGGGTGACCGCTTGGGCATACCAGGTGCTGTAAGCTTGAATGTGCAGATGGTGTAAATGATAATGGCTCGGAATTGTTAAACGAAGAGCAGAGTTTCAAATCCCGTTGGATTTGTTATGTTCATTAATGAGCACGTACCCTTGGTAAATGTATGAATCCACCTCTTCTCCCCCATCTACTGGTTAATTAGTAAGACTTGTATCACTAAACCATTATTATCCCTACAAAAATTCTTACAATCTAAAAATATTTTCTGGCTTTAAATAAACTGTAAAGGATTGATAAGTCCGAGAAAACGAATCACTCAAAGAATATTTATTTCTTTTTTTTCTTTTTCTTTTTTTTTTTTTTTTTTTTGCACATAAATATTGCAGGTAACAATTTTTTAAGTATTAAAATTATTTTTCTAGAGACAAGTCCTACTATCTAACCAATAGCTGGTGTTCGGTGATGGGTACATTGCTTTCCTAAAAGTATTTGCCCGTAAGTGAACGAAACGAACACGACTGGATTTCGAACTCTGTTCTCCGTCTTCTCATTCTGAGCCACTACCTATTACATCACACTACTATATGTATTCATATATATAAGAAATATATTAGAATAATCCGTAGCATTTACTAGTAACAAATAGACTGCATGCTGATAGAAAACGAGTTAGTACACGAAAATAAGTAGAAGTTAAATGAAAAAAAAAAAAAAACAAGATAAGAATTTACATTCAGACCGGATTTATTTAACAATCCAAAGGGAACTGGAAGATCTACCAGGATTTATTATCGGCAGGCATAATATTAACAACCAGATGACACGGTGTTGATGACAGGCATAGGGAAGGCTGCAAGATATCTTAGATAAGGTAAAAAAAGGAAAGCTAGAAGAAAAGACTATCAACAAAAAGAGGATATACGGTATGGTTGTCAGCAAGAGAGAGCGAATCCAACATGGCTAACGTAATAATCAAGCAGATACATAAACTAAACTGCCTGAGAAAAGACGACGAGAAATGCGACACCGAAATACGAAGAATTGGAATAGCGTAAGATGCCTTCCAAAAGCTAAGCAACGTGTTAGCAGATAGAAAACATTCGTCAGAAACAAAATAAAAAAGGGTAATGAACTGCTATATAATATCAGTTCTCCTATATAGCAGGGAATACTGAACAATCTCCTCACAGACAAAGAGGCTTGAAGCAACAGAAACAAAGAAAAGTATGCTGAAATGTTACGCAATATTATTCCTCCGCTATGGCAGTGAATGCTCGACAATCTCCTCACAGATGAAGAGATTTGAAGCCATGTAGATGTGGTCTTGTAGACGAATGCTGAGAATTCTGTGAACGCATCAGGTAATAAACGAAGTTTTAAGGGAAATGGGAAGTTAAAGAACACTTATACTTACTATCAGAAATAAACAGTTGATATTTCTCCATCAGGTAATGATGAAATGGGCTTGGAGAATTTATTACATGGGACATATTTTAGGCAAGAAAGATAGAGGGATAGTAACCTCCCTAACTAGTTTGTGCGAATATAGTGGTAAAATGTCAAACTTATCCCTACAATGAACAGGAAGTTATGGAGAGCTATTATTGCTCACGTTATGAAGGAATATAGTACATAAAAGAGATCTCATGCAATTAGGACACGTTTTATAATCTACGTCTATGATTATTATTATTATTATTATTATTATTATTCATTTTTAGGACTATTTCTTTCATCTTATTTATGATACGTTTTATATCAACTTTCAGGTCGTCATTTTATGATCTTTAACGTTTTTGAAAAATTATAAATACTAGTTAAATTTTCTAATTTTGCCCTACCGGTTTTAAAAGAATTCTGTTAATTTTTACTAGCTATTGATTCGTAACCTATTCACCAAAATTATATTCTAAGTAAATCTGAGCAATATTTTGCAAACTGGAAGTTAATATAAGCGAAAGGTCATTCTGGTAAAGAATGGGCCTTCTGATAGAGAAGTATTTTTTATAAGAGTCAAGGATATCTATATTAAAAACACGAATCCGATTAAATTCACAATTTTTCTTTAAAAAAAAATAGAAAACACAAATATATTCTTTGCCTTTTTCTACTGAATCTTGCTGTAAGAAAAGCCACAAAAAATCCGTTTTCAGCATCATTATCTGACCAACGTCTGTAATTAGTTCCACCTGTGCCGAGATGTTGTCACTTCAAAAAGATGAAAAATCTGCTTCTTTGAGGCTTATCACAACTCTCTTTATCGTACAAAGGAACCCAACACACGTCGGATGCGATTTAATGTTTATATATTGCCTGCAGACCTTGGGAATTACTAACAACTTGACAAACGATCGTTTTCTTGTTTTGTTTTGTTTTTTTTTTTTGTTCATTTTTCGTTTTTTTTTTTTTTGTTTTGTTTATTTTTTTTTCATATCTTCGACTTTCTCTACATATCATATACACTTGTTGGCGTCCTACTTATTTGATCTTTCTGGTCTTCGAGGAAGAAATATCCCGGCATTCTTTTCTTGTGATATCAAATCGTAACGGCACTAAATTAAACAGGGAAGCTTAGCAAAAGAAAAAATATAAATATAAAGAAATTTTACTTATACATATACATATAATATTAGAACAAACCTTATGTTTAGTGAATACATATATTTGAGCTGAAATCCGTGTTACTTTTTAAACAGGGAAATTAATGGCAACCGGGCTAGAAATCGAGAAGCCCTTACTAACTAAAAGTAAGCTGTCTATACGTCTGAAATGAAGTATTGTAACTGTTTACACTATTTACATTATTCAGACTGTTGTCTTCATCTTTATTGTCATATTCATGACGTTTCAGAGGTTGTACGCTCCGGCCTTCTTCAGGTGATATACGGTGGAATATCAAACCGTACCCTTTATTTAGTCCACGAAGGGTATTGTTCTAGTTCCACGTGCCATACCTTTCCTGGATATCAAAATTTCAGTTATTTCCCTTTAGTAACTGAACTCTCCAAGTTTTTGTTCACCTCTGCTGTGGCCAGGTATTGAACTCACAACTGAAAACTGAGAATATATGAAGATATAGTATAACCACATTATCCCATCTGTTGAAAAAAATTGAGTAACCTAAGTATATATATATATATATATATATATATATATATATATATATATATATATATATATATATATATATATATATACCCATATATATATCAATTGACTCTCCCGTCGAGTTCGACGTATGAGGTCAGGCCGATAAGTTTCAGGAAACCAACATCCCGACATCGGCACATGAGATTTGATTATAGTGGTGAAGGCCTCGTGCAGGACCAGCCACACTTTTTGGAGGGACGAATACAAAAACCTGGTGCACCGAATGCCACAAGGTTCCCAAACGACCCTCCGCAGGTTTTGAATTCAGAGTTGTCCTTCTCCTAGACCAGTTGCCATCCAAGGCTATAGAACCCAGTCTGTCCTGCTATTTTACCCATAGCTGGAGGGAGATGAAGAGGATTCATACCTTTCCCAAGGGTATTAGCACGTAAGTGAATGTAATGGATTCGACTGGAATATATATATATATATAATTGTGTAACAATTTTCGGATAGAGTATATCTGTCAATAGACAATATGAATAAAGACAAAAGGAAAAATTATATTAGTATTAGCCGACGCGTTTTGTCCAACAGAAAGTCCCTCAAAGGACGAAAAGCGATGGCTAAGATGTTTTCCTTTTGTTTTTTTATATATATATATATATATATATATATATGAAATTGATTAAATCCGACAAATATTTAAATATATTTTATGGATACACTTATTTAAGTAAATGGTATGTTTTTAAATTAAACAGTATTAATTACATTTACCGACCTGAATGTTCGAAAAACTTCATAGAAAATATTCATCCTCCGAGATGAATCGAACCTGTATCCTACACGGAACCGTCATAACACATCAGACTTAATGACGCTTCCGAATAGGACAGGTGTTCGATTCCTGCCAGATGACGCTTTTTTCTACGAAATTTCTCGAACATTTAGTCCGGTAAATGAAATTAATAGTGTTTAATTAAAAAAACAGAGCATTTACTCAAAAAAGGGTATCCATTAAGAAAACGTGTAAACAGAACATATATTAAAATATCGTTTTAAGGTATGCTATATTTCTGGGTAAAATTGCTCAAAAAGTACATAAATATAAATATAAAAGTGTACATTGAGGCTAATATCGAGTGGTGACCCTCTGTTTAATGGTTGTACGCAATCTTCTGGCCATGAAAGCAATCTTCACAAGAAACAGACTGTCACCACTAGATATACATAGTTTATATCTTCATATGGTCCTTAACCGATATTGAATGCACTTGCCTAACAGATATTAACTAAATTTAAACTATACACACACACACACACACACACACACACACATACATATATATATATATATATATATATATATATATATATTGAATATATTCATACAAAAACAAATACAAAAGGTTAATGATTTAAAATTTTTCTAAATCCATCGTCGCAAACAAAGAAAAATAATATACAAAAATTGAAAATTTGAATGAAAAGATCCTTGTTTCTATAAATCTCTGATGCATTAGTTCTTATTTTTACTACAAGCTTTCGTCTGTTCCTACAGACATCTTCAGGTATGGAATAGATGTTGTTCTTGTTTTTTCTCTCAGTAATTTTTAGGACAACGAAAATACATGTATTGTTGTATCCGAAAATGCTATTGGAAATGAGTATAAAATTTAAAATCAAACTCAGCGTTGCTACTGCACGCTCCAAAAACAATAACTCATGGATTTCTCTCCAATTAAATCATTAACCTTTACATTTGTTTTTTGTATGAATAATTCATGAATTTGTAAATTGATTGCACGTTTATCGAAATTAAAATAATGATCCAAGTGCGATTTTTGGATAATAAGTGCGACATTACTGTAATTATTGAACAATATAGTTCATGCCACTTTGACAGAAAATTTACCAGTAAAAAAATTCGCTTATCACCATATTTGCACAAGA